TCCTGCGCTGGCTACCAGCGGGGGCCGTGGTGGGGGGGGGGGGGGCAGTGCTCCCAGCAGGGGCATCTTTTCAGATTTTGGGTGAGGGCAACTTTAAACGTGATTCCAGCAGGGCGTTAGGCACCTGAAAACACTAGGTGTGACTGCAGATAACTTAGACATTAGCTGACACGAGGACTGCATCTAATTCCTATGTCAAGAAAGAATATGAAATTTTAGACCTGTTCAGCTGTAGTAATAACATGTTCTGATACCAGCAGGGGCATCTTTTCAGATTTTGGGTGAGGGCAACTTTAAACGTGATTCCAGCAGGGCGTTAGGCACCTGAAAACACTAGGTGTGACTGCAGATAACTTAGACATTAGCTGACACGAGGACTGCATCTAATTCCTATGTCAAGAAAGAATATGAAATTTTAGACCTGTTCAGCTGTAGTAATAACATGTTCTGATACTTTACATCCAGTCACTTAGGGGGACTAGTTGGGTTTAGAATATTAATGTACAGTATATTCTTACTTTTTGCAGTTCTCCAAGCTTGGAATAGGTCATTTAACTTTGGGAACCCCAAGGCTCGGTTCTAGGACCAGTTTTGTTCAATATCTTTCTTAATAACCTAGATGAGGGGATGGATTGCACCCTCAGCAAGGTTTGCGGATGACACTAAGCTAGGGGAAGAGGTAGATACGCTTGAGGGCAGAGATAGGGTCCAGAGTGACTTAGACAAATTGGAGGATTGGGCCACAAGATATCTGATGAGGTTCAACAAGGACAAGTGCAGAGTCCTGCACTTGGGACGGAAGAATCCCAAGCTTGGGACCAACCAGTTAAGTAGTAGTTCTGCAGAAAAGGACTTGGGGGTTACAGTGGATGAGAAGCTGGATATGAGTCAACAGTGTGCCCTTGTAGCCAAGAAGGCTAATGTCATATTAAGTTGCATTAAGAGGAGCATTGCCAGCAGACCTAGAGATGTCATCATTCCCCTTTATTCGGCTTTGGTGAGGCCACATCTGGAGTATTGTGTCCAGTTCTGGGCCCCCCCCTACAAAAAGGATGTGGAGAGGGTCCAGCGGAGGTCAACCAAAATGATTAGGGGGCTGGAGCATATGACTTATGAGGAGAGGCTGAGGGAGTTGGGTCTCTATAGTCTGCAGAAGCGAAGAGTGAGGGGAATTTGATAGCATCCTTCAGCTTCCTGAAGGGAGGTTCCAAAGAGGATGGAGAAAGGCTGTTCTCAGTAGTGATAAATGGCAGAACAAGGAGCAATGGTCTCAAGTTGTGATGGGAGAGGTCCAGGTTGGATATTAGGAAAAACTATTTCACTAGGAGTGTAGTGAAGCACTGGAATGGGTTACCTAGGGAAGTAGTGGAGTCTCCATCCCTAGAGGTGTTTAAGTCTCGGCTTGACAAAGCCCTGGCTGGGTTGATTTAGTTGGGATTGGTCCTGCCTAGATCAGGGGGCTGGACTTGATGACCTTCCGAGGTCTCTTCTAGCTCTATGGTTCTATGATTCTAACCACCCCTACTAGGGCAAGGCCCTGTGACAGTTGCCTAGGGAGTTACTATACTAGAAACTTAAAGAGGATTGAAATGGACATTTTCAAGTCTCTTTCGTGGTATTGTCAAACCCAAACTTCTTAGACCATGAGTCAGGTTCACCTAAAATCATGTTCATCTTTGGCTTTTTGAGCCTTGAGGATGCACTGAGGTCACATTTTATGAATGAAAGATAAAATCATGATGTATTCACTGTAGAAGAAAACACAGTTTTCACATTGTGTTTGTCTCAGATTTGCCAGAGGCACCTTTATTAAAGGAAATAAGCAGCTGCTGGGAGATTCTTCACTAACTGACACAGACAGACTGCGCAGTCAGAAAGAAAGTTACAAAGTTTTTATAGTTGGCATACAGCTCAAATTTCCCAGTCCCAAATAAGGAGACAACTACCAAATTAGGAAAGCAAGATCATTTTCAGAGAATTGCATATCTCTTGCAATTAACCGGATTGTTCCAGTTTCTCAGAACAAAGAACAACAAGCATCTTCCTTATCTATACTCACCCCTTCTTGGGCCTTGAAGCACGTATGCAGACTTAGGCCCTAAACTTTGGCTAACTTATTCAGATTCCACATCACTTGACTCCAGGAGCTGGGGCTTTGAGAAAAACAAGGACAAAATCATGAGAATTGGCAACACTACTTTCACTTCTGTTTTAAATAACTGCTTTCCAGAAGACTGTTAAACACAACACCACAGTGATTGAGTTGTGTCTGGAAATGAGTGACAGGCGAGGGATCACGTGTTGATTACCTGTTGTATTCCCTCCCTCTGGGGCATCTGGTATTGGCCACTGTTTGCAGTCAGGATACTGAGCTAGATGGACCTTTGGTCTGATCCAGTAGGCCATTCTTATGTTCTTAGTTGCAGTTCTCACAGTTTTTTTTTTTTTAAACCAAACACCAAGATAATTCCACATTTTAAAAACGAGGAAAAAAATTGAGATTTCTAAGGTGTATCAGGACCTCTGCAGGTAGAAAAGGAAAACAAATCTTCCAGTCGTTAATCAGAGAAAACTGCTATAGTCATCGGCATCTCCACTCATAGATATTCACATTACAATGACCATGTGATAATGTTGTCAATAACGGTACACTTGATACCTAAATATCCAAGCTATCTTATCCAGGCTTATACATTATATGCATTGTTTTCAGGAATTACATTTTTTGCTAATAGTCTGATCAGTGCTGAATACACAGGTGGTGCACAGTCAATTATACAAATCATGCTAATAATAGTCTCAGAGGGGTAACCGTATTAGTCTGTAACTTAAAAAAAAGTATAAAAGACAGCAGTCGTCCTGTAGCACCTTGAAGACTAACCAAGACTATTATTATTTGTGACTGTCCTCATCCACAACTACTTCTGATTCTGAGACAATTTGTATCTCCAAGTCAGTGGCACAGTCATGGGCACCCGCATGGCACCACAATATGCCAACATCTTTATGTCTGACCTTGAACAATGTTTCCTCAGCTCTTGCCCCCCTAATACTCTTACTTTACTTATGCTACATCAATGACATCTTCATCATATGGACCCACAGAAAAGAGACTTGAAGAATTTCACAAGGATTTCAACAACTTTCATCCCCCCCATCAACCTCAGCCTGGACCAGTTCACACAGGAAATCCACTTCCTGGACACTATAGTACAATTAAATAATGGACAAATTTCCACCATCCTATACCAGAAACTGACTGACCACTAACCTTCATGCTTCCAGCTTCCATTCCAGACACTTTTCTCAATCTATTGTATACAGCCCGAAGATACAACCAGATTTGCTCCAATCCCACAGACAGAGACAAACATGTACAAGATCTTTATAGAGCATTCCTAAAACTGAAATACCCATCTGGAGAAGTGCTAGACCAGGCTGTAGCCCATTCTGTTGTATCTGTGCTGCTGCTGTTATCCGTACTAGCTAGACTCATGGTGTCTAACCAGTTCTGAAGCAGTAGCTGTTATAGTGACTACTGCTATAGCAAACTAGCCATACTCAACCAGCCAAATAGCCACATGAGGCTAGTGGCTAGCATTTTGGACACCACAGAATCTAGACTAATGCTAGTAGTTAAGCCTACCTATGCTATGATCACCCCTTCTCTAGCAGTGTAGATATACCTGAGTCATCAATCCAAACTATGGATTTTGATTATTTAAATTTAGTTTAATGACCTATGTCAGTTTTGTAAAATTCTACTTGCCCAAGACAAGTAATTTAATTTTTGACAAGTGAAATATATGTATGTCATTAACCTCAGACTTTCCATGTTTGGGATGGGTGAGTAGATTTTTCTGTCAGAGATAACAAATTTTCCTATGTGTTTTTCAAAATGAGATATATTGGCACCCTCTCTGACATAGTGACTAAAACAGTTCCTCTCTCAAGTCATTGTAATCCTTTTTTGCATGGTATGTAGCAGGAAAGGAGGGAAACTGAAACCGTAATTAATACATCATTCAAATGTTATGTAAACAAACTGATTGGTTTCTAATTTTTTTTTAAGATGGCTTGGTTGGGTCTGAAAAAATGGATAACAACAACCTAGATGTACACATATCTGAAGCAGAAATGAAAACCAAAGAGGAAGGAACAGAGCAAGAGTCTATAAGGGAGTCTGATGCTACTATTTTGGATTCTCCAAGAGGTTTGCTAATAAACTGAGCTGGCATTTTCCCCTGTATCATTTCTAGAAATCTCTTTGAAGGAGCTTACTGACACAGGAGCATGCATGTTGTAACTGGAAGTGCCACCTTTTTCCATTCTGTTGGTTTAGATACATGATAGTGACT